AACTATTAACTCGGATAAAACTAAAAAAGAAAGGTAATCTACCAAACGTTTAGATCGGGACAGATTCTTTTGATCGAAAATGGTACTTTTGTTGCGTAAGAACACAGCAAAAGCTGGAGAAGTGCAAATCATTTCAGGACAATAATTCCATTCCGCAAAGGCTTTCTACTGTAGTTTTAGTTGTACCAATTCGTCTTATGTTTTTTGTTCTACTTCGAATATCAAGTTTCCCTCAATCTCTCTTCTTCCTGTATTAGCCATCAGGGTGTTTGATGTGATATGTGTAAATGACTGTTGCCGATTTGAAAGGAAATCAATTGTATTAGAGCAGTTCAGACGTTTTTGTTCCTAAATCCGTAAATATCTTAGGCCCGTATTAAAATTCTACTAGTAAGATATAACACTGTGATCGTGTGGGCTGTGTTAGCTTGAGCTGACTCACTTCTGCACCAAATCTTTCTTTGTAATTAAATAACTCACTGACATCCCTATAATTAAGTTGTGAATTTAAAAGTTCTATTAATAGGCCTATCCAGGAGGTATTTAGTTAAATTATTTTACTTTGATTATATATTTTTACAATCGAATACATTGTTTGTTGATTGACAGGAATTCATCATTAAAGAACCAAGTCATTGTTTCTGTTTCTCAGTTGACCAACTTTTATACACAACAGTCATATTTGTTTAATTTCACTAAAACTTTATGTAACACAATTAATGTCATTCGTTTAATACGAAAATCTATGATCGATAGTATTTGGTTGGTAAAATACTTAGAGCTCGTAAAGCACTTGTGCACCCTGAATTTATATATATATATATATATATATATATATATGTAAATTCTTATTTTATTGGGTCATGACCCTTAACTAGCTATGTTATGCATACACTGTTTACATATCATTATGTTTCTAAACTCGGAAACGTACTTATTTCACACATTTTTCTAAATTTCATTCCATTTTTCGTATACACCAAGCTCCAAGGCACTGTCGAGTCGGTCTGCACAGGATGCACAAATGCCACAATAGACTGAATATTTGTAGGCATAATCATCGATAGTAAATAATATGTCTTCTTCTATCTAGTTTATCATAATAGTATGTAAGCTAAATATTCATTTTATGCAATCGGTTTAATTTCTATTTGAGCATTGAATAAAGCAATGTTCGCTATTGACTATTTGTAATCACAGATGTTTTGAAAGACTTTTCATCAACTTTTCGGTAATTCAATATGAGTCAATGTGTAGCAGGTTCATAATGAGTAAATATGTGATTGTCCGTGAGAATTTGTCAAAATAACAAAGCACTAAATAGATGATAATTTGCATAGATTGTTTGAATAGGATGGAATGTGTGTCCAAGACTCCATTGTTAGCCACCATCCATCTTAGCTTATAATCCTTGTGACTTACGACAATATCGATAAAATCTGCACAAGATGTACAAACGTCACGAGAAACTGATCAATTGTAGTCCTAAACATCAATAGGAAGATTAAAACAATCAATGCACAAACCAGTGACTATTTGCACGCAGTAGCCAAGTGGATAACTCGATGGTGTTTGAAGCGAATGGTACTGGGTTCGAGCCTCGGAGTAAACATCAACCCTGGGATGCGAGTACATCTAAATAACGAGTGCTAAATGGGACGAGACGCCTATCCTGGGTTTCACTGCTAGCCACCATCCATCGCTGGTTACGATGTGTTTTTTAAAAATATTGTTTGGATTTCTATTACTTACAATATAATTTCTCGTTTTGTTGATTTCCTCTCACTGTGCCAACTTGATTTATGATATAATGAACGCGGGTTGCAGGTCATACGTTAGTAATGACTAACTGACTCTCTATACTCTTCACAATCTTACATTATAGGTTGTTAACTCTTAATTAATGGTAGAGTCGTAACGTGTAATTTTTAAAATGATAAAATGTAGTAATGTCAACTGTGTTAAATTTACGTTGAATGCAATTTTTAAACACAAATTTATTTACATATCGATGATGAACGTCCCTTGCAACTACCAAGATTCAATACATGACAATTAGTTTCTATGATTTGAAAAAATGTTTCGTTTCATTAAATAGTTAGGGTTATAGCCTCAGTATTGATTTTTGAATATAATAATTCACTTTAGAGTTTCTAAAAATTATTTTACTCGAAATGGTTTACAAGGAGATATATACATCTTTGGGATTTTTGTTATAATACAGCATATTTATACCAGTCACATTATTTAATGATTTTATCGTAGTGATGATTTATTATACAGACATTCATAAACATCGAATTATATGGGATTGTATGTATTGTTTTATACTATAATAATATGTGATTATGTATCCACTTGGAATATTTGACCTATACGTTGTATAAATTAGGTTAAATTACATATCTTGTGTATTTGTTTAATGTTCAATAACCAATCATTCAGGGAATAAATAATCTTTTGTGACCTACAGAAGGTGGATTGATTTGTTTTGGTAAAATAGTTAGGGTTATCATTTCTTATTCGAATAACTAGATTTTCTTTGTACTTTTAACGTATTTTATTTCTGTAGTTTGAAATTTATTTATCTCTAATAGACACATCTAGTCAAACATGAACAAGATTATGTTTGGGCTTTTCATTTATTTTATGTAAAATACATTCTCAACATTAGATGGTTTTTGGAGGTAGTCAACAGGAAACCCTGAACCAGGGTTTCGTGCTACTTGGCACTCATCAGCAAGGTGTACCTGTTGACTACTTCCTACCACCATCTAATCTCAATATATAGTGCACACAGTATCGAGTCACCTAGACTGGTGGCCACATTGCAACATGGTCGATAGCATTCGATCACTAAATAAGGACTTGACACGCATGACACTGATCACCACCTAGTGATCAATCAATTGTGATTACATTTTTAACATTTTTACTCATCGAAATATCCTATTTTAACCACATTCAAGAAGAATTACTAAGGATAACGCTTGCATATTACAGTTGTCGCCCTCAAACTAATTTTTATTGTATACTTCTGAATTTTTTATGGCTTGTCAAAATGTCGAATGAATTTAAACCTTTGAGAGTTTAGAAAGTTTTGTTCTAGTTGTGTAGTAATTAAAAATTGCTTTTATATTCATTTTGAATCGTTTCATAATGGAAACTTATTTTCAAAATTATGAACATGGAAAAACCATAACTTAGTTTCTGTTTTCAAAATTATCATAACTATAATCATTATCCCAATAGTTGAGATCATGAGTCAATTGAAGCTAGACCGCCATAAAAAACCTGGAAGCACTAGACGGCCATTCCATCTGTTATGACTGATGTGACTGCAGGTCTTGATAAGCAGCGTTTATTGATCGATTCGGTGAGAGTGACACGGAAAACACGTAAGGGACGACCTAGTGCCCTGATTGGCCCTGCCCCGCTGTCTGTCCTAGCCCAGTTGAGTGGAGAACAAAAGTCACAGCCTCGGAGATATGAATCATTATATTTCAAACATACTTTGTTTATATACCAATCAAGCATACCACATCGTACCATAAAAATAGTAAACAACATTTACGCAATATGTAACGAATGAATTAAATAATAGCCAATAGGGAATGTACATTTAAAGTCCAAGGACACCACTGGACTTAACATGATAATTATTGGTCTATTCTTCCGCATCCACAACACCATCCTATTGTGGGACTCCTCAGCAGAGATGATAACTCACTTAAGATAATGATGGATTTGTCGCCCAATTTCGTGGATTAGTTGAAGTTAGACATTAACACTGTTGAATGCCCGTTCAGTGGTTTAGTGGTTAAGCACTCGCGCGCAAGACTGGTAGGTCCTGGGTTCAAATCTCGCGAGGCGGGGTTGTGGATGCGCACTGCTGAGGAGTCCCACAATAGGAAGATTTGGCCGTCCAGTGCTTCCAGCTTTTCCTTGGTAGTCTAACTTCAATTGATTCTTGATCTCAAGTATTGAAATTACTACAATCCCCACAAAACCTCTTCTGATACAATCATTATTTATTTACTGTACTAATTATATAACAAGGTATTTGAATATTGACTTTTCTTCTATTTGAATAATCAGTATGAATATTCTTTTATGGAATTACTAACTATTTGTAATTCGGTCAGACAATGTGAAAGATGACCTTTCTAGATCAATGTTGGTAATTATACTGAGTGACAAATAAGACCATTAGAACATGACAATTAGTTAGGTTTATAAATTTAAGAGAAATCAAGGTGCTCTGAACAATCGTGATACATCACTGACTGTTATAATATCTGAATTAATAATTTGGTTATTTATTAGAACTAATAAATGTTATCGGGTGTTCTTTCTAAAAACTCTAATATCATTGTTCTGTGTTAAAAATTCTTAATGTGCTTTGAAGTACCTTTAATCTTACAGATTATTACGTAATCATTTATTACCGTTCGTAAAGTCAAAATAATATTTCAATAACTTAAACACTTGCCTATCATTTTCCCCAGTATTTATCATAGAATTAAGTTGAAAGTTTGGAGTGATTATTTAATCTAAAATTAGCGTTCAGCATGAACCTGATACTAAATGATGAGCCATTAAAAATCATGGGTTATTGAACTGATGAAATTCTAGTCGCATGTAGACTGAGATGGATTTCACCTATGACACTAAGTGAGGACTGAACGATGTAATGGTAATCGATCGGAGATTGGAAAAATATATCTTTATGTCCGGGCTATTGGTCAGAAATGTATCGCTTTCTATTCTCAACCAGAAGGTCTTGAATGTTGTCGTGGATGAGAATTGTCAATAACTCCCGCACTATGGCAGGATATTTTCTTAGCTTACCCACTAATTTTCGATAATTCTGTGTGTGATGTCAGTTCATAATGAAATCAGATATCTACTTTAGTTCCCCTAAAAGCATAACTTAGTTTAAAAAAAATATGTATTCTCTTAGTAAAGTGGCAATTGTTTATTATATTTCATAATTTTAGATCTGTGGTTCATAGTGCAGTACGTAATTTAGCTATAGTTTATCAACGTCAAGGTCTACAATCTCATGCTAACTTATTGCTTGAGTGGCTTCAAATGGCAATTACTGATTATAGACCACGTTTAAATCATACGTCTTCATTGGCCTGTTCACCGATAAAATGCACACAATCAGTCCATGGTATCAACTCACATGTAAGTCATGTCGTATTACGTATTAAATCATGTTTTTTGATGAAATATCAGGATATATACATCCTCATACAATTTAACTGCTTAATTAAAGCTTTTTCTATGTATGTAAATGATAATGGTTGTTCTATGTTTTATAAGCAATTCCTGTTGAATAAACATTCATGTTGTGAGGACGGCCCACGGGTGAACTCGAGGAAGCTCTAAGAAGCTCAGAAAGAGCCGAAGACATTCTATCCAATCATCTTTTGGAAGATCACTCCAGAATCTCGACATGTAGCTTCCCTATTGGACCACTGTATACGGATTGGATGACCAAAATGATGATTTCGCTTTTACTAAAAACTATAAATACCTGATAGTTTTTTTTACCATATTCGACACTGTTTGGAATAGCATTCCTTCTCACTCGTCTTCTGTCTTCTCATTTGCGACTTCAAGGGTCCTAGCGTTCGAGTGCTCAAGTTGTACGTGGTATATCAAGAATCTGAGCTCCAGATATGACACATGATCTCTATAATATTCGGCAAAACGTTGGATTTTTAAATGCTTTTTCAAATTAACCTTTATTAAATGTAAAGAACCGTTAACTTATATTTGGATCAGTATGTTTCATTTTTATCTAATAAATCCTGAGAAGTTCCATTCTGAAACAAAACAGTTTCCTTATACTCCCTTTTCTTCAATAGTACCTTAATTAAAATCAATGTGTGCTTAATATCATCTGCAAATTATCTTGTTCTCTGTTAAGTCCACGTGTAAAGTATATAGTATTATTTGTTTCCATTAGAACTGTCTATTTTAATTTTAGTAATCATGTTGTGTAAATAGTAGAATAACGACGCTAATTACTTTGATACTAGTGGTTGAAAATGGACGACAGCAAACCCTAGATCTGGGATTCGGGTTATTCAAAACTTTTCAACAATGTGTATCTGTGATGTTGAATTCGATTGGAGATTAAAGGTATACCTTGGTGATGAGTTCCATATATTACGAAACTTCGGTCCAGGGTTTCCTGTCCACTGCCTTCAACCACCGCCGTACCATACCATAGTATTTAGGAATGTCATAATACTTTCATAGGTATACTTCTACTTGGATTATTATACCTAGTTATGAATACAAACAGTTAATTTTTTGCTCACATGAAATCAGATTCAAAGTTTAGCTTACTGTGCTAACCAAAGATATGCAACCAGTTATCCTGACTTTTCTTTCTAATCTTCAAATATACTATAAACCGTAAAATGTTTCGTAAGTAATTAGTTATATTTTTTAATGAATTTGATCATATATTCACTGTTTTAAGATTGTATGATGTATACAAGTATTCCGTCGATGCTTAAAATGTAAATTACCCCTAACGAACTATGAAAATAACCAGCTGAAATAGAAGAAATGGACTAAACACTGAAGAAACGATTTATAATTTTTTTAATCACTAAGATGAAATAAGGTACTCAATCGTTAGCATCTACATTCCTTCCAATATAACAGGGTTCTTGAACTTCTTATTAGTAAAATTTTCTCAGTACTCTAATGTTATGATGAAGTAATCAGTAATTAAAATATATTGTAACAGTTGAATTCATGAGTCGATCTAAGCTAGACCGCCATTGAATACCTAGAAGAATCACTGAAACATTTACTGTCTCAGCATACATTCACTACCTATGATCTGTAACATATTCGAACCATTGAAACAGTAACACAGAATTCAATTACACATGCTCACAAAGTCTTCATTGATTCTTTCAACTAATTCCCACTAATCGAGAAGACTTATATAGTTTTTCTTTAAAGCTTTATCTAGTAATGATACAGTGTAAATTATTTGAGTTTGTAGGGAGTTTTACTAATCGAAATATTAACTGGTTGGTTTTATACATAGGAAACAATACATTTCTCAATATGAGTGTGTGAAATATCAGAAATAATCGTAATGTTAATAATTAATAATTATCTTCTTGGATTTCTTTATTTCTGTTATTCCAACAAAAAGAAATACCATCTTTCAGTGTCATTTAGTTCTCTCCTTTTAGATTTACACATTTGTATGCATATCGATTCTATGTGTATGCTAGCACTCTTAGAATGAAACTAACTGGAAACAATAAATAATGTTTCTTTCTGTTAACTTATGACGCGGTACACTTTTTCTTTTTCTTTTGCAATGTATTTATAAACGACAAGCCTTACCAACCTCCTTCTTTCTCTCTCTCTCTCTCACATACACACTAGGTTTAACTAAAATTTCGTTTATTTATTTTTATGCATTTTATTGATGTTCTTGTTCACAAAGTAGGAGATAACTAACTAACTACCAACTTATTTGCCTATCTGTCCACATGTGTATAATGTACATTTGTACCGTTTTGGGTGTTGTTTATTTGTAGACACACAAAAAAAGTCATATTATTTCTACTTCTTTAGTTCTGTTTTTTTTTCAAAACGTTCACCTGGTTGTTGTTGTCTTTTATTGAACAAAAAGCTTAGAATTTATGTAGTTTAGCAAAAGTTGTTTATGTTCAATCGTCTTATTGTCTATAAACTTATTCACCTCCTTTTTCATACATAAATGATGTGTTTAAGGCAGATAATCACACTCTATTACTTTACTCCCTATCGTCAGTTTAGGTGTAAATTAGTTGAGCTTGTCTGTCACTTCATTTACCTCGTAAGATTCACCATTCTTGATCAACTGATATCTGACGAGATCCCTAACATTAATCCAGGAAGCTTAGTTGGCTTGCCAACTTGCGTCTCCATCTGTCAACTAAAAAACCCAATTTTCTGCACATCAGTTCGCTTCTTTCTACTTAATGACTTTGAGACGTGACCTCCATAATAAAGGATATTCATAGGTGGTCACGATTTCATCATAGGTTTCTTTGAAACATTCCTTGCATATTTTGGGTTCGTTGAGATGACAATTCTGAGGTTAAAAGCAGAGTACTAGGTAAGAATGGCAAATCGGTTGACGAGGTAATGAGCCATTATTGACTGAAATGGTCAGTGTATGTACTAAGTATGGCTATCCTTTGATTGCCTCGGTGCACTATGATGACTGATGTCTTAGTAGGTTGGAAAAAAGCTCGGGGAGGTCAAACCAACATATAGAATCAGTCCATGAATACGCTATTGGACTGACGCATTTAAGTTGATGCAGACCACCTGGTTGAGGTTCACGTAGTTACCTTAACCATTGGTTAAAGATTTTAGGTGACGTGTCTCGTAACCGCTCGCAATTGCTCAGATGCATTTCTTTGTTTTCCCCGAGATCCCAAGTTTTAAATTACTCTATAATCTTCCTATTTCACGAATCCACATTTTCTTATACAATTGCATCTTGGATGCTTAACCTTTTCCACTACCGCTAGTATTGTTACTACCTGTCCGGAAAATTTAATCTCTCTATACTAATTAGGAGTGGTAAATTGAACCAATGTACACATATGTCAGGTTCTTACTTAATTGACTTGTCGGTTTGTCATTGGATGATTTTGGGACATTGCTTTAATATGGCTGTCGCTTTTGTTTGTGTGTGATCTCTATATTTCCTTCCATGGTATAAGCAACAGACAAGTGACGACCGCCCACATCTGACAAAACGCGAGATCATATATTTTTCTTATCTATCGATTTCACCATATTTTATCATTTATTTATTGATACTGTTTTCGTCCCGTTCTAATGTGATAATCTGTTGTTTTGTTTGTTTTAACTAAACATTATCAACTTTGTGCACAATATATGGTTGTATGACATAGCTAGCTGTATGTCATCAAAATTAATTAAATTGATAAATTGAATGTATATGTGCGTGTATGATTTTGCACAAATAATCGTCTGTACTCAGCTTTAAACAATACACTTTTTTGTTTAAAGACTAATGATTCTTGAGATGGTAGTAGTCGGAGTTATGTTTTCTGCGAATTTGTGGCTTAGTGTTTGAAATTTAAGCAGATATCTGAATAAAACCAAATTTTTCTTGTATTCAGATCGATTGCACAGTATGGGACACATTTCAGTCGAAGTTAAAAATTTTTATTAAGCATGATATATGACTATTTATTTACAGACAACTTAGACTACGTAACAATTTGGTTTGTTGTTTCACTGTTAGAAAATATAGTCACTGAAAATGAGGTCGTGCCTATATTGCTTACAAACAATCATTTATAATATTCTAATTGGGTTATTAATAATTTAACTTATGGAAGAAATCAAATTAGTATGAAATTTATTGAACCTTATTAATGTTATATTTAATAAATAGAATGTTATTATGAAAATAAAATATTTACTCATCAACCAGCTGTATTTTCTAATATCTTCAGCTAGAAATGTATTCTAGTTCAGGGATATTGACAAATGTGCTTATTCGGACATTCTACATTGTCTGTTCATTAATTAATGAACAATATCATATTTTTCTTTGTCCTTAATACTGACACAATCAGTTGGCAATTCGTGTCCATCAGAATGGGATGTGCTTTGCGAATTCGAGGTGTCGAATACTTTTACAAAACTGAACAGACCCTGAACCTTCACTCCCCATCTGTAGTGAGCGTATAAAACTAGTCGAGAAGTTCGTGTATCTGGGTAGCTGCATAAGTGCTGGTGGTGGCGTGAGTGAAGAGATCAATTCATATATAGTAAAAGCCAGGGTGGCTATTTTGGGCGCCTTCATGATGTCAGTCTGGCTGTAAAAGTTTGGATATACAACGCGTCGGTGAGAGCAGTCTTGCTCTATGCTTGTGAAACCTGGCCTAAGTTGAGGATGTTAGACGACTCTCTGTGTTTGATCATCGTTGTCTCCGAAGGATTGCTCACATCCAGTGGTAACACCATGTTAGTAATGCAGAGGTTCGGCATCGTGTGTTCGGGCGCAGGGACGATAATGCAATTGGTGTCACTATCTTGAAACATCGACTTCGGTGGCTTGGACATGTTCTACGAGTGTCGTACCAGAGACTTCCATGTCCTGCATTATTTGC